AACTTTGCCAATACTTTCGAAGCATTCCTTCTCTTGATTCCAATTGACATCTTTGGCCAAAGAATAGACCAGTTGTGGGAGAAATGCATAATTGGGAACAAATCCATCCAATATTATGGGCAAACTTATCAATTCCTTTTCAGAACTGATATCTATTGAGAAGTAATCGGAAAGCATTTCACTCTTTGACATAAGAATTGTCTCGACTTCTGTTGCGCTCAATGTTTGACTGCTCTGACTGTCGACAGACGGTTGAGTTTTGCCGACGTCTTCCTCTAAATAGACGTTCACTAAATCCGCGATAAGTAATGGTTTGGAAAATCTTATTCTCTGAAAATTGCCGAAATCGACGAGAAAGAGCTGATAAAAGAGCTCTACATTCAGATTATATCCGTTCACTAATAGGAGTTGTGTTTCAAATTGGAACAAAACAAACGTCTCGTCAGCGCATCCAACGTATGTTGACTTACAGATAATGTCTTGAAGACGATTATCGCTCTCTTCAGCGACAGTTCGCCTCAGAGATGAAACACTCGTCAAATTCATATCTCTCCTGTTTTTGTCCACTTTCTTAGCGTTCAATAAGTATTCATAAATTTTGCGGTCTTTACTATCGGTTCGGATTTGTTTGTCTGGTCTCCGAGGAGTGGTCTCTTTGTTCGGCGCTTTATAACTCCTGTCACTATTTGTTTGATTGCCTTCTTTCGATGTGGAACTGCTTTGCGATGACTTTTGATTAGGACTCTCACCAATGGATGGATTGGAGATCTGAGTAAATACTGTATTTATTAGAGGACTCGACTCTGTATTCAAACGACGCGTTTCTCTTCCATCTGTGAGTTTGCTTTCGACGATTTGAACCACTTTTTCACAGATCTCTTGTTCGTGAAGGAAATGGACTTCATTTTTGGTCGGATGAACGTTGACGTCGATGTTCTTCGAGTCAATCTTAATGTTCAAATACACGAATGGATGACAACTCTTAAGCAGATAATTACTATAAACCAAATCAATCGCTTTCTTAAGCGCCGGACATTCAACCAATCGGTTGTTAATGAATAAAATAAATACGAAATTCTTTTGATGAAGCGTTTGATTGGAACTAAAGCCAGACATTGAAAACTTGAGACCATTTAAGTCCTCGAATGAGAGCTCAACCAAATTGTTGGCAATGTTTGGCCCATAAAGTCCTCTAATGTTTTCAATGATTGTGTTTTCAATATTTGTATTCAAATCATAATTTTCGCCAAACTTTTTGAGAGAAAACGAGGATTTGTTTGAGTTATTGATCGCATATTTAGTGATCACATCGAGAATCAGATTATATTCGTGTGAATAGGAATTCAATGCAT